GAGTACCATGAGATAAACAGCCATCAACATTATCCTTTGCATTTCTTGATTTGCATTATTATCCTGCTCCATTTATTTGTTTCATTGCTTTAAAGAGCACAGTTCTTATCTCTCATGAAATAAAGATATCCCAAGCCTTTTAAAACCTCTTTCAAATTGCATAAGCAGCAAAGAAACAGGAGAAGACGGAGAAATTATTATTCATTATTGTTCTTATTATTAATATGTGTAATTATTACTACTATTATTATAATTAATTAATTTTGGGTTTCTCACTGCTTTCTAAAATGACATAGTATCATGAATGGTAAGGAATTTCTTTAAGACTCTGAGACCAGGCTCTTAGTTGGGGGTGTTCCCGATGATAACTTCAGTATTCATTTTGCGATCTGACCTCTACTGTCATCCTTCACAGTCAGAGACTTAACAATTCACTTGAACAGTGGCTTCACGTTCAACATGAGCATTTAATCTATTCTGAAATCACCCTTTCTTTTCTGAAGCATTGTAAACATACACCCACAGACCCATATTTGTCTTGTAGATGCCTAGATTCTCCATCAGGCAAGTAAGGCAGATTCTCTAATCCTCCAAGCAGAGAAGTAGATAACAGTTCTTATGAACTGCACATAGCAAGAGAGAGATGTTTCTAGGGGGTGATGACAAAGCAGTAACCTGAGGATGGGGCCAAGTTCCTGCCAAGCAAATAAACTGGTATCATGTGTATTTCTTTATTGCTTAAAACTGAGCTCCAAAACAACAAATACAAGGGAATAATGGAGTGGTGAGACTTAACATTTAAAGCTTCATGATACAGCAGACAGAACAAATTTTAAGTCTGGACAGCCTGTTCTGAATTATAACCATTAAACCCAGAGAGATATGCTGGGCTCATCCAAATTAAATTTGAATTATCCAAATAATTAGAGGTATTGAGTTACTGAAAGAATCGTTTGGAAGTCAAAGGTGCACTGCTGCCTTCTAGGAAGAAAGTCTGACAACATCAGCTGAAGTAGGAAAACTGCAGGCTGTGCATACTGGCAATCTCAGTGTGCCCAGTACTGCTCCAGATAATTATTATTAATGAACTCACATGTGCTCAATATGTAGTTCTGGGCTATAAATGAAAGCTTATGTTTTAAATCCTCGTTTTTATATAGGTGGTTTCTGCTGACAGCAATTCAGAAATCACAGGGTTATTCCTTGAAATTCACTTGAATAAAACAAAAAAGCACAGTGCCTTTGCAAACTGTTATGAGTGTATATTACAGTAGCTGACATTGTAGCTGATATTGCTACAAATTCTAAATTTTTTTTTCATTATTTCCAATCATTCTGTGAAACTGCTCATAACTGTATAAAATATATATTTGAAATAACTGGAAAAGTGGCCAGCAGATGCTAATATCCAAAATCCACAGGAAAGCTGCCAATGCAGAAAACAAAATCCCTTTGGACTGAAAAACGTAAATTTAACACACTTCTAGATTTAGATGTGCATCTAAAAGAACTGTTTTACCAGCCTTTGATTTTATAGCCTGGTTTCAAGCCTTAAAAATACATGAATCCTCCTCGACTTCAGGAAAAGAATTATTATTTTAATGGGCAAGGAAAAAAAGTCCAACTTTAAGAAAGAGAGATGGACAGAGTGAGAGAGTTCAAGCCTTTGGAAACAGAATGATAGAATTCCTTGGCAGGGGAATTACAACAGCCCATTAAAATGATAATTCCTATTTATGAGGTCCTTTAAAAAATTAAAATTGTCTTCTCTTACAGCTTCTCATTAATTAACTTTTCTTTCATTCTTTTTCTTTCTCGAAGAACTCAGCATACTAATAGGTTATGAATAATTCTGTTTCAGCTTAGCCGGCAATTAGCCACAATGCTATGGGCCATTATTCTGTGCCTTTGAAAGTGGAGATGTCCAAACTGAATAAAGAGACAAATCGTGCACGCTCTCCTCCCTCCATCATTCAGTAATGTCCTGTAAGTCCTCACCAATTAGGGGTTAACTCATTTAAATCCTGGCTATTAGATTGAGTGATGCAATTTTGCTTTATCTCAGAAAGTCTTTTCCCTTGTACAGTCCTTGGAGCTGCATTTCAGACATGATAGTTAAAGCCCCAGAAAACATAGACCTACCCTGATGCTGTTACAGTCCGTTACAAGAATCAATATCACAAAATAAACTGAATCTCTTTAGTCTTGAACAGGGTGGTTTGCTGGTGCTGGTTAGTTTTGCTGATTTGCACCACTGCGGCCTGTCACAGTCATCATCTCTTTTCCCTATTTAAGCTCAGCGTCTCCGTAGTTCTGGGCTCAGCTCTGGAAGACAGACGTCCGGGGCTCGGAGCTATTTGTCCCGTCAAGGTTTGAACTATTCATATTCCTAGTTCCCTGTTCCCTGTGTTCGTTTCGGATGGATCTCCCGGCACCTGGACCTTGGACTGTTCCTGATTTCCCCCATTGGACTTCCTTTCGGACTTGTGCGCCTGAACTTCCCCCCTGCACCAGATCACCGCTGTCATCACCCCCTGTGTTTCTACCCGACCTGATCCTGCTTTGTCTTCCCTGATGTCCTACTCCACTCACTTCCGGATTATACTCTCTTGCATAGGGTCTTTAACAGCGCATTTCACGGAAGTCTGAACCGGCTCCCATGACGGGGCCCTGTGTCCAATTCTATTTGTGATCTTGCCCATGCTACCATTATTTGTGTGGGTTTCCTCCCACTGTCCAAAGACATGCTGGCATGTTAATTGGCTTCCAGATTCCACTTCCTGGTGCTGTTGTAAGGGTGTACATGTTTGTGTCTGTGTGTGCCCTGTGATGGACTGGTGTTCCATCCAGGGTGTAACCTTCCTTGTGCCCATTGTGTAATGTAATGTGTAATGTGTGTAATGTTTCTTTATTAGCCCTATACAATTTCTTGCATTAGGAATTCGTCTTTTCGCATACCCTAGCTTTTCTCCAAGGAGACACACACACAGACAGGGAGAGAAGCTTGGGGTCAGAGCGCAGGGTCTGCCATTGTACGGCGCCCCTGGAGCAGTTAGGGTTAAGGGCCTTGCTCAGGGTAGGATTCCTCTGCCGGCCGCGGGATTTGAACCGGCAACCTTCCAGTCTCAGATGCAGATCCTTAGCCACAGAGCCACCGCTCCGCCCCATTGCCACCATGAACCTGAATTGCTTAAGTGGTTATTGAAAGTAGTACGATGTGATGATGACAATTCCAAGATTAAAAAAGGAAACCAATGGACTACTCCAGGACCAATAGTGAAACAATAACCCAGGCTGCTCATGGAAATTAAGATAATATGCATCCAACATTAAAAACAAGACAATGAATACTGTAGCAATGGAACAAACCACACAATCACAATGTTGAAGATGATTTAGTAGCCAACTTCAAGAAAACACTGAATGAGACCCTAAGATTAATATGCTGCTACCGACCAAATGAGAAAGATGACTGCAGTGTCTTCCCTCTAATATATAAAGTTACATATGTCCTCATGAAAACAAATCAGTGTTTTTCCACATTAGCTAAAATGGGTTTCCGTGCCACAGTTGGACAACTTTGCTTGAAACAACAAGCGTAAACAAAGTAAAGGAACACTAAAGGGAATTCAATGTGCTATTGGATTTCTGGAAATCCAATTTAATGCATTGTTTTTGTTTTGGGTGTGGACTGCAGAAATCAATGATTGTTTAAAGGATGCAGGAGACAATCAGTAAGGTGTACATTCACACTCTCTAGGCAGAGAAGCTCAGAAATATAGGAAAACACAAACTCCAAGAGGTTTGAGAGAGGAAAAAATGTCAGGACAGCTACTTAATTTAGAAAATGTTTCTATGGTTGGCAACAAACCAATCCCGTTTTTCATTATCTTAAAACTCAGTGTGGATTATCCATGCCAAAATGAAAAACTGGAGACTTAACCGTTAAAAAAACAAAATTATTTTTTAAACATTTGGCAGATGCATTCTCATAAGAGTATCCTGATGAGCCCTCTGTGTTTTCATGGCACTGCTAGTAGGTGTTCTTATTATAATGCTACCGTCAAAAGTAAAGGAGACAAAACTTTAATATTTGCTCGACGATAAGAATACATGTCAAATATTATAATTTCTTGTTGAGACTAAAAAGCTCAAATTACAGTGAAGCCCTGCAGCATTTGAAAGTAAACTCTTTGTGTGAGAATTATAGAGATATGGTGATCCTACACAAGAGGAACAAAGTCACATCCGTATCTGTCACAGTATGGATTCTCAAAAGCCTCTGATCTTTGGCTTCATTTCAATGTGTGTTTTACTCTCATATTAGCACAGGCTAAACAAAGATTTACCCTCTTCTTTTTAGCATTTCCAAGCAAAGTCTTTGATTCCTTCAACAATGCCCCCTTTCCCCATAACTTCCTGAAAGGTGAGGGCTCATATTTAAATTAGCCACACATACGGCCAGGATTATTTTTTTGTATACAGAATATACACAGTAAAACTCCAAAGTGTGCTTTCTACACACAGCAAACACAAATATGAGAGAATTCCACAAGGAAACCAATTGCATGGCTGTCGGGTGACATTTTGTTTGATGTGTATTGATAAAAAAGGATAAAAACGAGGCTGATCAATTATAGAGAAGATGTACAGTCACTATGCTACACTTTTAGGGTTGTTGCTCAAATGTTTTAAATTACAAAGGGAACACAGAATAATATTATTTTGTCCTTATTCCAATTACAAGAAATGTTTTGTGAATTTTAGTCTTTATGCATGGTATGTGGAAATCAACCCCCCATTCCCACCACCCCTAAAAAGTATTTTTTTTAAATGTAAATATGACTCAGCAAAGACGAATACAGTTCAATGCCATAATAGCAAACGCACTCCAAAAAGAGTAAATCGGATTGTGAAAAATATGTATTTTGGTATAGCTCCCCTGTCTGGAATGAAGTTTCTAATCTGAAAACTGGTGAAAGCTGAATTACTGTACTTACACATAACCGTGAGAAAGACATTCCCTGAAGCCAACACCACTTTCTCTCTTGTTGCCCGATCATAAATCCCCACATGGCATTCATATGGGCCGTTATCTGAGATCCGAACTTCAGGGAGCCTGGAGAGAGAAGATCAAAGACCCACTGAAATCATGACATATTTACATATACAGTATAAGCAATTATTTTTTCTCATAAACATTTTTTTTACTTTCTTAGGTCTATTTAGGTACTTTCAGCCCCCAAGTGATGACAAAACGTTAGGACTACACTCAAAAACAACAATGTAAATGAACTACCAGAATATGCTTTGGCATCACTTCTGAACATTTAACATCATACATTTGTATGTTTTTTTTTTTACCATGCTTGTAGGTTAAAAGAAATATGTGGTAAAAACCGTTAGCATTCTCATACATACTCCACAGCTAGCATGAAAAAAAATGTTTAAGCAGTCGTTATGGCTTGCTGAGGTTCGTTTAGTCTTATTTTAGTATATTTTAGAAAATAGGCAGTGTATCGCAGCACATTACACACAATGTAATACCACAGTCTAAGGAAAATTGTGCATCTGTAATGATGTTAGTACTTGAATAGTCAGTTTTTATAATGCGTTACTCTATTGCTGATTTTTTTTCAAAATGTATTGAAATGTGGTTGAGCTTTTTCTGTTGCTAGCTTGATTACAGATGAAAAGCAGATAGGTCTGGCAAATTTGTGGTAATTTAGTGTTCTTAAAGCCTGATTGTATTATTTTAACTTAGCATGCACAGTGCTAGGAAAAAAAAAGATAGCACAGTCAGGAATCATTTATTTTTTGATTAAAAAAAGAAATCTTACTATTTTTTTGGCTATGATGTATTGAAGTCAAGTCCATCAATAGTCTGATTTGCTTGTGTTGTACAAATCCGCTTAATTTAAAAGAAACAATTACTTTTGAGTTAAAAATACAAACATATGTGCATGGAGCCTGTAGCTCACTGAGTATTCTCTGAGAGGCTAATGTGTCAGAAACCATAATCTACCACAGTCACAACCAGACGTGGTTTTGCGTGCTATGATTTATTCTAAATGAGAACAATTGTCCTTGCTATCTGAATATTTCAACAGTCCCCCTCTGAATCCCAGTTGGGCATTAAAAGCATTTGTACTTATGAATCCAGCAACAAGGAAAGACAAAAGCAGTGGAAATTCAGGATAAAAAGAAAATCCAACTTCTCTTTGAAGACCTGTGAACTGTAGTAAGGTAAGAGGTATGGCAGTGATGAAGAGAGACAGCACTATGGGTGAAATGCAAAAATACTTCACAAACTGAATCCTGTAATCTTTCTGTTTGCATTTAACACACTTTCCTTCTGTTTTTCTGAGTAATTTACAATGATCTGGAGGACTGTCTGGTTCTCTGATTTTAGGTTACGCTAATAGCCGATCTAGATCATGAGACATATTCTCATTGTGTCAAACTTAGTGTAAAACTAAGTTCTAAGCTTGAAGGCTCTCCCAAGGTGTCACGATTTTAATCCCTCCCCCTTAAGGGCGCTCTGGCTGGTTCACATTTTAGTTGATTTAGTGCACCTGCTCCCTGTTTCAGCCTCCCTACAAAAGCCAGACGCTCACTCTGTTCCGGGCTCTGCACTGGAACACGGACGCCTGGAGGCCCGCCTACCACCTTGTTGCCCTATGTCCGTGGCTCGAGGGCATTAGCCTCCTATCGGCGTCCAGAACCAGCCGAGTCTGGGACTTGGAGCGCCTGGTCCCGTTCCCCCTTTTTCTCCCCGACCCTTTGCCGGATCCCACTCCTGCTTTTAACGCTGTCTTGTTCGTCTTGGATTGATCACCCGGCTCTGGATTTTTGCCTGTACTGGATTTCCCTTTGGATTCCCTTTAGACTGTTTGCCTTGGACCACGCCCCCCGAGCACCTTTATCACGCCCCCCTGTTCGTCTAGCCCTGCCCAGTTCCTCGTTTCCTCCCCGTGTCTGCTCACTCCCTTCGGGATTGTGCTGTCTGCATAGGGCCCTGGAAGATGCTTTGTAACAAGGTCCTCTGAGAACTTTGAAAGTAAGTGAAGATCAGAGTCATTTTCTAGGTTAATACAGCTCTCCTTCCTTTTGCCTCATACCTATACAACAATAGATTTCAAATGCCCATTCATCAATACATAAAATAATATACGATAAAAAAAATAAGACTAGCAATAAATCATACAGATGAAAGCTGATAGTTGACCTGTAGGGAACAAAGTGTCCTGTTATTCACTGTGTCCCAAAGGACTGAAATGTCTACCACTTCCTCTTAAAAAATGACCTGACTCATATGACCATAAAGTAAAAAAAAAAATATGGATAGGACTTGAAACAGATTGGTCCAACCAGGCCCTTACTAGTTAGTTACAAAGATGTACAGGCTACAATTTCTGGTCTTCAGAACTAGAAAAGTCTGGACAGGTCTATCCAAGCCATTCTTCCTCCTGTCTACATAGATCTGGCAAGATCGATTTGCTTAGCTCTGGAGGAGCTCAAAACAGGCAATAGCAGCCAGCAATCAATAAACCATTTACACCTCCCTTCAAGAGTTTAACTCCTGCTTTTCCCAGCATCTGTGGATCTAGGAAACACATTGCTTGCGTCTTCAAGCATTGCCTGGCCTAGCTGTTGTGATGCATGTGGAATACACACCCCCCTGACAGTTTAGTGCAGAGAGCAAGCTCTATTAGCTCAGTCAGACAACATCTGCATCCAAATAAGATAAAATACAGTATTTCTGGAATGTGGCTCTGCAGTAGGTACTAGGCAATCACACTATTTATCTTGGCACAATGAACCTGGGTGCTCATATTATTGTGATATTTGCAGAGCACTGCAAGGAGCTAAATAAGAAGGATGTGTTCTTTGGATACTGGTAGATCCTTTGCAAAACTTGTGCTTGTGGTTGAACTTGTGCAGACATTTGTAGAATGCCTTAATACTAATAGGTCTCTGAAGGCATGACACAGGACACCAGCATGGGCTCCAGTGGACTTTAGTTACCTAGTGGGCATGACAGAAGCCAAAGCCTTCAGCACATTGCATTAAGTGTTCCATTATCATGCTCACTCATTCTTCTTCTTTCATTTTACTATAAAAGCTACTGTTTGGTCATTCTAATAAAAACACAAATACCACTTAAAAGTCAATTCCAACTCCTCATTCTTCTGAGCCAACAGGGGCATTTTTGGGTACTTCAGAATGCATATAATATATTTAGGGCCAGACTAACAAAATGTTTCAGTCACTATGTGCATTACACATTTTTTGGGAAGAAAATCTATGGAAAGGTAGTAATCTTCTGTACAGGAAATAAAATCCTAATGTGACATTTCAACAAACATTGTGTTGTTTTGGACTATAAAAGTAAATGCTAAATATATTAAAATATTTTTATGCGTTAGGTTTGTTGTAATGGAAGATTTATATAATTTATAACTTTTAATGGCTCAATTTTTCATGAATTGCTAACATTTTACATTTTAATAATAATAATAATTGCTTACACATATATAGCGCTTTTCTCGACACTCCACTCAAAGCGCTTTACAGGTAATGGGAACTCCCTTCCACCGCCACCAATGTGCAGCCCCACCTGGATGATGCGACGGCAGCCATAGTGCGCCAGAACGCTCACCCCACATCAGCGAGCAGTGGGGAGGAGAGCAGAGTAATGAAACCAATTTATAGAAACCAATTTAACACATTTGTTCTGTGTTTAATCTTCTCATAGAATTAATTTTTATGTTTGTGTTTTCTAAATCAAAACATATACTTGTTTTTCCATTTTGTAGATATACAGCATGTTCTTTGTACAATTGATTGGCAGCACATTCTCAGGGGAAGCAGAATTAATTCTTTGTTTCCCCTTGGAGGATTTATAACTGTTAATTTGTTCTTAGTTTTTTTTTACCTGTTGATGATTCATAACTGAAATTTTTTCCTAGGCAAATGTGGACAAGTTTAAAAACAAAAGTAAATCGTTTAATGTTAAAAAAGGTTAAAAATGAAATATTTAATATGAATGTGTGTTTTGAGAGTAATTAATACTAATTATGATGAATCTAGCAATCTTAAAAAAATACTTTTATCTGGTGTTCCTCAGGGTTTGGTATTGTGGCTGATTTTGTTTAATATGTTATCAATAGCTCAGTTTAGCAGGTAGCTTTCATTGTTATGGGGATGATACACGATTACACAATACATTTATCTGTGCACACCACCAGACAATACCTTCTTTATCACTCTGGCTGGTGATAAGAATTGGAGGCACAAGAGTTTTCCATACCTCAATCCTGATAAGACTGAAGTAACGCTGATTAGTTCTTTATATCATTTTGATAATACATAAAAACTTATGTTATCCATTGATGTAAATAGGATCCAGCCTGCTCAGATACAAAAAAATATTTGTGCTATTTTAAAATAAAAAATTGTTGGTTCCGGTGTCTTTTTGTCACCTGTGTAACATTGCTCATACTGTTTCCAGTTACCTGTACTGTATACCTTTTTTCCACACAAATGCAGAAATTACATGCTTTTATATTCCCACAAATAGACAACTGCAATGCTTTTCTTGCAGATATTTTTAAAATGTGTTCATGTGTGTATGTTAATGTTATAATAAGAGAATTCTGTGGCACAATTTATACCCTAAAAGTATATCCTATAAACACATCACTCCAGGCCTAGTACCTCTGTATTAGTTTCCATTACATTCCATTGGCTTTCAAAGTCAAATTCCAAGTCTACTTCTGACTCTTAAAGCTCAGAGTGGCTCAGGTCTAAATTTATTATTGACTTTCTGTTACCATACACACCATCATGCAATCTTTGTTTTTTAAACAATGCTCTCTATCTTTTAAAAGACAAAAAAGAGGTGTTTGACATTGTTTGCTCCTATAAAACTAAAAACTTTTCACCCTTGTATATGTTACACCCTGTGTATTGTGTTTTTCTGTATATTCCCTGATTTACCTTCTTATTATTACAGTATGTCATCAGTACACTAGGTCCTGAGTGCCAGATCATTTGTGTCAAAATGAAGTGTCCCTCTTCTACATTTCTACATAATAAAAATAATAAATACAGCTTACATTTCAGAACCTAATGAACCCCAAGAAATCTGATGCATGTCCAAAGAGCCTATCTCATAGCCATTACTATAAGAGGAATGGATGTGATCAAAAGCAATGTTAAGGCTTCATATAGCCATTCATGCTTATGAGACAAAGAAGGCAAATAAGAGCATCAGATAGGACTGCAAACTTTAGAAGGTCACCTTGGAACACTTTGAAATTACAGATGTTTCTTTTTCCCCTTTAAAGTTTGAACATCAATCACTATGTGTTTTTTCCCCGGAGTTAACTAAAACACGATACCTAAACGGAAATTTAAATTCTTCAGCACGTATGCACGGTGGCAGATGACACGCTCGGTGTAAAAAAAAAAATCCAAGCCGAGACAGAGAACACAGAAGAGTAGAAAGCAGAGAGACCTGTATAAGTAAAGAGAGAAATTAGAAAGGAGGGAATCTGAAGAGAGAAGCTTTTCCCAGGTGACAGGGGAGTGCTGAAGATCCTCATTGAGTATTATTACAAGCACACAGATGGAGCAGAACTCCACCGCTGGAGACAGCTTTGCCTTTGGACACAAAAGGTTTGTATTCATAACAACCTGGCCGGTATTAAAAATTTAAACTGATCAAATTAATTTTTCAAACACTTTCCCTTAGCTACCTCTCACATAGCGAGATGGAACGTCAGACACCAGAGTTCTCTTGATCAGGGTTCAGGGAGGGTAGCGCTGAGGCATCACCCTGTGACCGGGGTTCAAGCTTGGGGGAAGCGTGGAAGACAAACAGGCACGCCTGCTTGCTCTCTTTGTTGTTTCTTCTTACTGCTCCCTGTGTGCCTGTGTGCCTTCCAGCTCTTCCAGCTCTTCTTACTGTCAGAACCGCGGGGGCTGTGAAGCAATCTTTTTCAATGAAGGTTACTTATCTTTAAGCGAGTGTCGATTTGTCTAAATGGATCAGACTCACTCAAACAAGCTAAAATGCACGGGGAAAAGATGGAGATGTAGAAGAGGAACATGTGGCAAGAGCCCTCTAGTGCAGAAGCTGTTGTGATGAGAGCTAATTCCATACCCCCTCCCCCGTGGCTTGCAATCTATTCTCCCTGGAACAGATGACATCCTTTCTCAATTAACCAACTGCCATGTGTACACAAAACAGTTGCGCATTTCCCGCCTGTGCAGGAGGAAGAACTGAGGAGGTCTGCTCACCTCCGGTATGCCCTAAGCAATTTTTATGGAGTGCCATTGAGCTGGCAAGCAGCCCAGGTTAAACAGTGACACTTTAGCAACACTGAAGCAAGCTGTCAGGATTTCGGAATTGGCTGGAAGCGCTTAGAGGGTGGGCCTAGCAAAGCTTACCGGACTGTTGATTGGTACACAAGGTCTTCACGTCGGCGGTAGTCCTCCATGTGAGAGTAATTGGTATTGAACATGGCATCATAAGTGAAGATCTTCTGTTTGATGGTGCCCCCATCTGTAACCTGTAAAACAGAAGAAGAATGCAAAATGGGCAGTTTTATTAAAGACATAGTGAAGGACTAAGCTCAGTCAAAAGAGTTAAAGCTCCAGAATTCAAGGATGAAAGACTTTTGTGGTTTTCATGACATCTTAAGTAATAATAATAATAATAATAATAATAATAATAATAATAATAATAATAATGCTTACACTTATATAGTGCTTTCTGGACACTACACTCAAAGAGCTTTACAGGTAATGGGGACTCCCCTCCACCTGGATGATGCGACTGCAGCCATAGTGCACCAGAACGCTCACCACACATCAGTGGTGAGGAAAGCAGAGTAATGAAGCCAATTCATAGATGGGGATTAATTTGTAAGGGACAATGGGAAATGTGGCCAGGATGCCGGGGTTACACCCCTACTCTTTTCGAGAAACACCCTGGGATTTTTAATGACCGAAGAGAGTCAGGATCTCGGTTTTACGTCTCATCTGAAGGACGGCGCCTGTTTACAGTATAAGTACTACTTATTTAATTGATCTAAATGTTGAACTGTAAAATTACAATCTAAAAAGAATCACATGACGTACAGTACAATAGCTACAAATGAATTTTGCAATAATTGTCCCTCAATCAAATATTTAATCTAAAACACTTCTGAGATCTGGGAACAGAAAGCTGTGACGTATTGTAGTGATGTTGATCTATTTTAGATGATATAACGTTTTTTTTCCTAGTATAGAGAAGCCTTTTGCTGCATACTTTAAGCTGTTTTGCTTCGGATGAGGAATAATAATCCAATTTTTACTCGTGAGTCCTGTTCAAGAAACACATAGAGCTCACACAAAGAAAAAGAGAAAACAATAGTGCTTAAAATATAAAACAGAAGCAAAAGGAAAGTGAAAAATACATAGCAAAATGAAGCTAAACCTAAAAGTAAATTGTGCATTAGGAGTTTTAGTGAAAAGGTTGGTCTATAAGCAAAGTTTTGAAAGGGTCAACAGTCACAGAGTCTCTAATGGATTCTGGCAGTGACTTCCAAGTTGCAGTGCTACATACAGTAGGAAAGGACTTTATCTCCTACTGTGTGGTTTCTGGTCTTCAGCAGAGAAAGAAGGCCTGAACCAGCAGATCTTAGATTAAGTGCTAGACTATACTCTTACAATAAATCCATAAGGTAATTTTTAGTTACGCCATTCAGAGCCTTCTACGTGAGTAAGAAAACCTTAAAAGTCTCCTCTAAATTTCATTGGAAGACAATGCAATTTACAGAGGATGGGAATTAACTGCTGACAGAGAGAACTTTAGAAACTTTAGATAGCAAAATTCTGGACTTGCTAAAGCTTGATTTCAGCATCAGATAGGCAGAGCAAGTCTTAGCCAATAAACTTTGTACAGGTGGAAGAAAGATACCCTTATGACATTCCTAACATGAGCTTTAAATGAACAGGATCAAATGGAATAAGATCTCACTAACTTCCATGAAAAGCTTGAATTCAATACCGTCATCAACAACACTGATATTATCAACTTTGCAAAGCTGGTGTTAGGAAGGTATGCAAGTAACCTCAGTCCTATCATAATTGCTTAAGAATCCAAGAGTGCTTCCATATATGAATGTCAGACTGACACCTGCAAACAGCACAAACTGCAGCGATTTGGTCTGCAAACACATCTAAGTGGTCATCACCCAGAGTAAGAAGGACAAACATGAGATTCAACAAAGCTTAGATGTACTGCATTAGTTGGCTCCTGGTACCCAAAAAAGAGCCCCCAATGATCCCTCAATAGTTTTCTATGCAATCAAGTATAATTGCTGTGAATAACAGTATCTGAATCAAGCCTTAGTCTTGTACTTGATTCAGACAACCATTTGAGCCGTCACTTTTCCATTGACATTCCCCTGTACAGGATTTTTCAATGATTAACAAGAGGTAATTCAGATCAACTTACAAAAATTATTAACAGCTGCAGAACAACTTATTGTTGCCTAAATCCCAAATCTACCTCTTTACTGCAAGTTTGTCTGCCAGACATCTGCCCAGTAATTGTCAACATCATCAGCAGTTCCCTATCCATAGGTATGGTCCCTACTGCTTTAAAAAGTGCATCACTCTTATTCTAAAAAAAAAAAAAACTGTCTTGAATTCTGATAAAATGATGAACTACAGACAAAATTCTAATTAACCATTCATATCTGGTAGGTCCTGGAGTGTGTTTGTGTCTGAGTGCCCTGCACTCTGTGTCCTGTCTAGGGTGTCCCTGCCTTGTGACTGTTGCTTGCCAGGATAGGCTTGGGCTACCCCATGATGCTGTATTGGATGAAGTGGTTAGAAAATAAATGGATTATTATTGCCACAGTAAGTGATGAACTCTGATGTATGGCTATGCTTGTGATGGTATGATGACATGCTGAGTAAAGCTGAAACAATCTGTAATATCTAGGAAAATGTCTTACCGTTAAATATTACTCAGTTACTTACACTTAATTCATTCAGTAAAGTAGCTGAGGAGTGAGAATGAAACATACCTAAGAACCTAAAGTCTATCATGTTTTTGATTTGGACGCCTGTTTTGAGCTATTGCTTAATATGCACATGCGTTTTTCAGGATGTAGGAGAGCATGTACTTAATGAAATATTGTAATGTAACAAAGCAAATGAATCATTGCCTCTAACACCAAAAAATAAAGGCGGAACATATAAGCTTCTGTTCCTGTTAGTAAGTAGACATGGCTTTTGTTGAAGCCTAATACTTAAAGGAGTGCCAGGACTTCAGACTATGAACTGAAAACGATGGCAAGGTTTTCTGGGTCTAAATACTTTTTAAAACATTGCTCCTTCCAGAAGCAGGGGAGCTCTATTTGGAAAACAGCTTACACAGCTTGTAATTTGCCTACTGCAAACTGACACATGGCTTCCGGCTAACTCAAATCGGTATATTTCCCTACTGCATAAAAGTCAGTTATTCTTTAAAACGATATCATCAGTGTTATTATTTGAAAGTACTCTGGGGATGATCTAAGTGATTTATTACAAATATTTTCATTACCTAGTAAATGCCTCACATCACACAAATCATGGAATAAGCAGTGAAGCTGGCGGCAATTGGGAGTGTCTCTATAAAGGAAAGGAGGACTGTAGAAGGCAGGTAAAATATTCTATATGATAATACTATAAAATAATATTATAAAGGCTTGAGTGTGAAAATGTGTCACACTTTACAGTTTTTTGTTAATGGGGTCACAGTTATTTTTGTCTCACTGAAACATTGAGATATATTGGGTTTTGTCTTTGTCATGTTCTGCTAACAATTCCACACTCAAGATACTGTGTGTCTCCACAAAAAAGCATTTCAGAGAAGTTTACGGGAAGAAAGATTCACTGGAAATTAAATAAAAACTCACCCAGAATCCTCAACCCATATAGGTCACACTTGTAGAACTTTTTGTTAACAGCGTCACAATTGCAGTATTTTTATCTCACTAAAACGCAGCCTATAGATTGAGCCCTTTCTTTGTCATGCTCTACTAAGATTTCCACACTCCAGATACTGTGTAGGAAAGGAAAGGATCAGAGAAAGGTTTGTAGGAGCAAACTTCTCAATTGAGTTCACTGGACATTAAATAAAAAGGATACCAAAATCAAATATTATCTTTTTTTTTCTGGACAAAAAATCTAAGCATTTCAGGTTCTGTCTCAAAAGGATTACTAGCCAAGGATAGAAGCATGGATGTAGAGGAGCTGCTCTGATCCTTAACAGCTGATTAGCTGGGGGTTTCCATTTCCTCATTCGTCCTGGGCACGGGAAGGTGATTGAAGCTTGAACTTGGTAGCGTTTGTACCACACTCAAGCCATCATCTAGTCCCATTACTGAAAAAAAAATGGAAATTCCCCAAATATTCACACGACCAGAAAAAAAAAAAAACACACTTTCAGTGTAGGTTATTCAATAAAAAAAAACAACATTTGTTTTTGAATAGAAAAAGATAGTCATCAAGGTTAACTGATTCGAAATTTGGTACTCATACAAACCGGACCATGTGGACAAAATTCCCTTGGACAATGACAGTGGACACTTATCAGCTACATGCAGCTGTGATCCTAGTCTTCCCATGCATGCAAGTAATCATGGCAACATTTGGAGGTATTACTGAGCCAATGTATCATTCTTTGATGTGTTCAGCCCCATGGAATCTTTTGCATATATACTAGATTCAACCTACTGCATATTTATATTAAAAGGCAACTCATACCACAGTTTATGTTTTGAAACAAAAAAAATGGCATTTATTTTTAACATACTATGGTGTGTTTTGATTACAGGAGAAAGCAAATCAAAGTAGTTTTCATTACCATAACCGAATCATAGACTGATTTTCTAGTTGTCTTTCCTTGTAAGTGAAGCTTATGGTAAGACATACTGTTCTGCTGTATCACGCTGTATTTATAAGGCTTGTCCATTAAAAGAATAGCTCAAGACACTTCAGTAGCTGATGTAAAAGCCAGCACAGTGGAAGTGCCATTTTAAAATAATTGTATATTATTCTTTACAAAATGACATTTGTGAAGCAAAAATGGCCCATCACCAGCTAACAGGCTTTTACAGCAAAAAGTCATCAGGTGAATGGCAGTAAAAAAAATAGAACAATTGAAAACAGTATAGAGTACTGTACACTTCATATCACAATAAAATAAAAACAGATAAAGCTTTCAAAAGACTGACAGTAATATAAATCTATAACAAACAACTTATAATTGTGAAAAAGTGGCTAATTTACAAACAGCCTCCAGCCATTAAAAGTGACAAAATGGATCGAAATTCAGCAACAGAATTCAGTACCAAGGAATTCAGGCAAACTTACATCACTTTTAAAATTGTGTATACATAGCTTACAAGAGAAGAACCACAAACTTAAAATGTGACCAGACTTCACATCCAATATAAATACTTTTAGTGGCTAGGCTTTATTTTTTGTAAACTTGCTGATTTCTCGATTCATCATATTTCTGTCATAG